TGGAGGAAGTATCGAGAAAGTGAGATGGTACACGTTTGACAGCGGCTTTCAGACACCATCAACAGCAGAGGATCGCCATTTGTTGGGCGTCTTGTTTTGGCTGCCTCACTTGTCGACAGCTAAAGCCGCGTGGGGGCTGCGGCGAGACGATGCAACCTCTCTAAGATACGACGGAGAAGACCATCGCAGCCTGGATGACCATGACAGTCGATGTGTCCTAAAACCGCAGTGATCCCAATGGTGACCTGCAGCGGTGACGATATCAAACATATCAATCAGTGATGTCAGTAGTGCCCTGCAGCGGTCCGCGCGGCAGCTGCGTCAGGCCGCGTCCTCTCCGAGCCGGGCGTGAGCGTCTGAGCGCCGACCAGCGCCGCTTCGCCTCCTGACGGTCGGCGGGTGCGGGCAGGGTCGGCTCCGGGCCGGCTGCCCGTCTGCCGGCGCGGCGCCGGTCCTGCCGACACGCCTGTGACACAGGCCGCTGTTCGGCGCCGGTTCGGCCGGCACGTTTGTGACACAGGCCGCTGTTCTGCCGGCACGTTTGTGACACAGGCCGCTGTTCTGCCGGCACACTTGTGACACAGGCCGCTGTTCTGCCGGCACGCTTCTGACACAGGCCGCTGTTCTGCCGGCACGCTTGTGACAAAGACCGCTGTTCGGCACGCTGCGGCCTGACGTCCCGCGGCCGGCAGCCGCTCGGCGCTGCTTTCACCTGTGTCAACCGAGACGGCAAACACGGCGGCGACCGCTGCCGGCTGCGGCGCTCAGCCGCGCGCCGGGTCCGGCTCCGGCCGCGGCGGTGGCCCGGCCACCGAACTCGTCCTCGAGTCGAAGCTGTCCTCCTGATAGACGCGAGCTGTGAGTAAACAGGTCACACCAGCGAACCCGCCGTCGTGCCGGGGCTCTCCTCCTTATGAGCTCAGGTTCGCAGTTTCGTCCTCGTCCGAGCCATCCTTCCTGCTGGACCCCTCCTCGTGCAGAAGCTGGCCTGAGACCCCGCCCCCCCCCCCGGATGAAGCTGTACGCCGGATGAGCCCCAGATGAGCCATCTGGTGTTCCGCACTGACCCGGCACCATCTCGTGGCCGCTGAGTTCGCACGGCATTGGGATCCCCTCAGATGGCGCCGGTTTAAACATGAGCCGCGCAAATTGAAGAAGAGGAGGAATGAAAGGTGCGCTAGGGAATATTGCGCTGTCCCGGTAACTTAACATTACCCGGCTGATGTCTTGTGACACGTGTTCTCCATGTTTGCGCTGAGAGTTTCGAAATCTGATATATTGCAAGCCAAGAAATATGGCTGCCTTCAATAAGGTACATATGTCGATTTGTCTGAAGCATGTAATGGGGAGTCATTTTATTTCCATTTCTCCTTGAGCCGTCAGGCTTGGTATACGTACCATATGAGCTTTCATTTGACTGACGGGGCGTTATGCAAATGCAAAATGAATTCATTCGAGCGTGGCAGCTTTATCAAAAGGCTACGGCAACCTAATCTGACGTGGCGCCCGTTGTGACACGAATGGTGGGCATAATCAAGTGATGAGTGAGGACCGGTCTTCGGGTGTGTCACACCGTGCTGAATTTCACGGACCGCGGGCGCAGTGTCGCAAAGTAAGTTGTGGCCTGAGCAGTGGAAAAATGATGGAACGCTCCCCCAAAACGTGCCGACCAACAGGGTTTTCCGACGATTAAGCCCAGTTTTTCTCAAAGTTGGAGCGGGGGGGGGGAGGGAGCGGGCTGGGGCGTCCTCACCGAAAGGGAAGCTACGCCCCCGTCACTGACTAACCGCCATCCGGAGGGATGTGGCGTAACTCAGACCGCAGCCGGGAATGGAGTGAACGTCGGAGAGGGGAAGCAGGCTCAGTGGGTTCGGAATGCGGACACCGGAGTGGCCAAGGCCGCGTGAAGCAATGAAGGTGACATGACGGAAAGGCCCTTGTCCAGCTCTGGCGTCGACTGTCGCTTTTCGTTTGTATCATTGCTCGCGTCTGTCTGAACACGTTAGATCATATATGTGGGCCCAAAACGACCATTGCAGTCGACGCGCCCCAAAACACCAATGAACAACAACAATATTAGATCACATAGCTGATGAGCAGGCGCGACAGATGTCACGAAATGCGAGATCTGTTTTTCTGCTATCGCATTTTTGACAGCGTGGTTTTATGCATAAGTGTTGGATGCGGTGTTTGCGTGTTTGGGCCAGTGTGATTAGGCCCTGTTAGGCACTCAAAACCCCAGCAAGCGATCATGATGCAATGTTTCGAGTTTCCACTGACGTACGAAATAATTCGAAGGCAGTGGGTTACTGAATGAAACTATCAGTGCTTTTTTGTCTTACATGCCATTATGGTGGTACAACGGAGGCCAACGACAAGCAATGTGCAGGTGCGCCTCCTGGCCGAGCGGTACCGACCCGGCTGTCGGGACCGGCGGCGGCGCCCGCGCCCGCGCCCCGCGCTCGCGCTCGTGCCCGCGCCCGTGCCCGCGCCCGCGCCTGTGCCCGTGCCCGTGCCCGTGCCCGTGCCCCGTGCCCGCGCCCGTGCCCGCGCCCGTGCCCGCGCGCCCGCGCCCGCGCCCGCTCAAGTGTCGTCCGCGAGCGGCTCTCGCCGGGCTGATTGTCACTCGGCCGGCGCCGCCAGATGAGCTGCCGGTCGGCGGCCGGTCACCGGTGGCAGGTCAATAGCACGGCGGCGCCGACGGACCGGGGTCGCGTCAGTGCCGCTCGCCCGGCCGACCGGCGGCCGGGGCCTGCCACCGGCGGCGCGCTGCTGACACGAGCCCTGCTGATGACGCGGCCGATGTATCTTTGATGCCGCGTAAACCAAGTATGACGCCTTGTATACGGGTGTCGGTGTGGCCGATTGATCGGGCCAGGACCAGCGAGGGTCTGTGATTCCCGGCCGGCGCGGCGTCCGTAAACCGCCGCCGCCGCCGGCTGGCCGCGAGCTCGCGCTGGCAAATCGACCGATCAGGTGCGGTGTACAGCTGTTTTGCATCGACCAGCAGTGCGCGCCGCGCGCCGCCAGCTGCTCCGGCGGCCGCACCCAGCCGCCGCCGCCTCGCCGCTCGGCGGTGCACGCCACAGATACGGCGGGATGTGCGCTTCTCCGTGCTCTTTCATATCGTTGTGTAGGGACATATCCATGGGCCGTCGACGCTCACCTGGCTTTCCATATCTTTGAACTCAAGTTAATTAAACAAACAGATAGCGTGAGGGAGCAGCACCAGACGGCCCTTGTATTGCACATTAATCATGTGCATGTGCGTGCACATGATCACGGAAACTATTAAGTGTCTGCTGTTCCCAGCATCCTTCCCACTTGGTTCGCGAAGTCGGCCGCGCCAGCTCGGCGCGCTTAGCTAGGTTGGGGACGGCCAGTTGCCGTGTTGAGCCGGCGTCAGCCCCACCGCGATTGGGTTAGGTCAGGCCAGGTTAAGTCAGGTTAGGTTTGGATCGGTCCGATCTAGTCCAGTTAGGTCGGGTCAGGTCAGGTCAAGTCAGGCCCGGCCGGACCGGGGTCGGGTCGGGTCGGGTCGGGTCGGGTCGGGTCGGGTCGGGTCGGCTCGGCTCGGCTCGGCTCGGCTCGGCTCGGCTCGGCTCGGCTCGGCTCGGCTCGGCTCGAGTGGGGTCAGTCGGGTCAGATCGGGTCGGGTCGGGTCCGATGTGTGGTGAAGGGGGAGGGGCGTGACGGAGACTGCCGCACCGCTTTCTCGCCGCTCCGATTCGCCCCCCGGTTTCCACTTTTGCTTGGAAACCACCGTCTTCCGCCTTGGCATTGATGACTTGGTAATCACGGCGCATTAGAGAAAGCGCCTAAAACGGGGCCGTGAGTGCATGACGAGACGTATCCTCTGGAGCACGTCCGGTGTACCAGCGAGAACAACCCTGCGTGGTCATGCGTGCGCGCCTCTGGCTGAGCGCGCTCAGCGCACAAACGCGGGTCACACTCCACTGGGGCCGACGCGCTGGGCTTGGACTGCTGTCCCCGCGGCGCGCCGGTGGACGGCGCGGGGTCTGAGCCAGTGTCGGTGTCTGTGTATGCCCGTGCGCCCCCTCCCCCCCCCCTCCCGCCGCCGCCGCCGCCGCCGCCGCCCTACTTCACGCGTCTGACACAGCTCCTCGCCGCCCGGCCGAGTCGTTACTCACGCCCCATCCATTACCGCCTGCTAATCCGATATGTTACTGTTACTTCATGACGCAGTGCATAAATCACCGCGATTGCTCTGCTCGTGATAGCCCCAATTTGCTTATGATTTTCATATTTCTGCATCTCCTGGGAAGCTATGTTTTATGCATAGTTTGGCCTGACGAACAGCGCGCGGTGGGCGGTTTGTCTGGTTGGGGGCGGGACCACGGCTGAGCGCTATTCTACCGGGCCGGACCGGGACGCCGCATGTTAGCGAAGGGCCATCCATGTTCAGGCGGCCGAGGCGCCCTCCAGCCCGACCGCCGGCGCCAAAGGTCAGGACCCCGGGTGCTGCTTGACCCAGTTGGAGCAGCCCAGATCACGGCTGATCGCGCGCGCGCGCGCACAGACACTTGAGACGCGCTCACAGAGATCCCGCAGACGCCGCCACAACTCTTCTGGGCCGCGCGCTGTCATCGACGAGCCGTGTTACACGTGTCGGCGCGGTCGCACCCCTGCCGCTCGCGACCTGCGCGCTGCCAGCGCCGGCGGCCTTTGTAGTGCACGCGCGGGAGCGGTGCACGCACTCCAGCTGAACAATTGCGCTCTGCACGCAGCACGGGCCTGCTCTCCTCGGTCTCGGCCGGCTTGGCGACAGCCGGCCCGAACCGGCACCGTTATGTCGAGCCGCGGTGCGGGCGGTATGGTGATCAGGACGGCTGTGCAGTACGGTGTCGGCGGAGCCGCGCGACAGCCGCCGCCGGTGACCGGCGACGGGCCAGCCGCGGCGCCGCCCGCTGGCGCGCCGCATTTGTAGCGAGCAGCAGCGCCGCCATCGCCGCTCACGGGCCGTCTCCCTGTGTTTCCAGGCTCCGGACTCGTTCGATCTGTCGCCTGAACATTCCGTCTGGAGGACTGTACGCCATGTCTGAACAGGTGAGACTCAGACTCAGACTCTGACTCTGACTCTGACCCGATCGCAGCCCTTGCCGACAGCACCAGCCGGTCATTTACGAAGCCAGAGGTGGTATCTTGGGCGTAGGAACTCGTGTGATTTCGTGCGGATGCAGTAACCGCCCGAGGCTAAAGCTGTGAAGCGCTCGGCGAACCTCTCGCCATTCTAATTCAACATCGACTTAACGCGAGCACGGTACGCGGCCCGGCGATTGTTCCGCTGCCGCGTTCAGAAACCATACCTCGTCACCCCGCCCGTCCAGGCGGCCCCGCGCGGTAACTGTCGGTGGCCGGACCGGGGCGCTTTTTTGGCCGTCCATCTCGCCCGCAAATCGGCGCCGCCCCGCCGCCGCCTCCGCCGCTGTATTCGAGGTGCGGGCCGGTCGGAGATTGGCTCGCCGTGGACTCCATCCTACCTGACCTGACACAATGCATTTCTGAGTGACTGCGCTGGACGCCGCCGGAACGCTGCCCAGGCGAGGAGGAGTGGGGGGGGGGGGGGGGGGCTCTGATGGGGTGCCGAACGCCCGCGGCGCCGGAGGGTGGCCGGCCGGTCACTGGGTCCCAGCCGGCCGGGCGTCCGGCGGCCCTCACCGCCCCTGCCCTCAGGTGTCACCGGGGTCCCGGCTCCCGCCATTGCGTCCTGATCACTCACATGCTCGAAGCGTTGTCGACGTGGTGGTTCGCTCGGAATCACATGAATGAGTCGTGAGGGCTCGCAGCAGTGCCCTCTCCGGGCCTCGCCTCCCTGCGGTTGTCGTTACAGGCGAACCCTGCTGGGCCCAGCTCACTGGTTCTGTGCCGACTTCGGTCTATTCTGCGAATTCAACTCGGCTGCTAGTTCGAGTTGTACAGCGCGGAATAAGAAGATAAATCGGACGGGAAATTCGCGGAGGCAGAATAGAAAATTGTAACGTAATTTTGATAAGTTTTCCGCTGGTTTTGCTGAGTTGGTCGGATTCTCTCGATGCTGAAAAAGTGGGAGCCGACGCCGGGAGCGCTGGACGACAGCTTTGGATTGATCTGCTGCCGGTTTGGATCCAGGAGAGCGGCAGCAGACGTTGGGTCGGGTCCGTTGGAGATGTTTGGCAGCGGGCGGGACTGGGACCCGGTGGGACTGCTGCGGCCGGTGGGCGTGGCACGGATCTGCCGAAGGTGTCTGCGGTGGGCGGGGCAAGGATCTGCCGAAGGCGTCTGCAGGCAGACGGGGCACGGATCCGTCGAAGGTGTCTGCGGCAGACGGGGCACGGATTTAATGGGGCTGCTGTGACAGCCAGAACCGACCTTGGCGACGGAACACTCTGCCTGACTGTGGCCAGTTTGGCCGGCTCTGCCCTGTCGGGGTCCGGCACCGGCTCTGCTCGTCCCCGCCTCCGAGCTGCAGAGGGTGAACTCCTGCTGCGGGGCAGGCCCAGCCGAGACTGTGTTCCCCGGCCGGCGGTCGGAGCCCGGAGGAGGGCTGTGCTTCCCGGCCGGAAGTCGGAGCAGTGGTGACAGGCATCAACTGGACAGGCGCTTGTATGGCGGCAACGTTGCGATGAAATCTTTCAACGTCAGCCAATCACGCTGCGTTGAGCGGTGCTTTAAGGGTTTCCCATTGACATGCTGCACGTGCTGGCGGTGGCGGAAGCCACTCTTGTTTAGCCTGCTCCCTATGGCTAGCCTGCTGCTCCCTCTGGCTAGCCTGCTCCGTGGAGCGCATCCCATCTGGCCGCGGTGCAGTTCTCCGACAGCCGTGGCCGGTTGTCAATAGCCGCCTGTTCGGCCTGCCGCCGGAGCTGGCAGCCGCGCGCTGCGTGCGGCTGACGGTGGGGGTGGAACACGTGCACTGCCGGCACCTGCAGCTGGGTAACGACAGGCCTGCTGCGGGCGGCGCTCGCTGCGGCCATTAGGCCGACCCGCGCCGACCGACTCACACCATTGCAGCTATGTAAATTGTAAAGGCGCAGTCTTTATTTTGATCTGACTTGGCGATATTAAAAGCGGACGAAACGCCGACTGCTCCGCTGGGAAATTTCGCCGAGTAAGGCCAAAAGTTAAACGGGTTGAGCTTAAACAATAATCCAATAAATAGAGACAACTGGTGCGTAAAGACGGCAGAATGAGCGCAGTCGAACAGTAATGACGTTGTGTTTGTTGTCCAAAATGCACTTTGGGGAAGTGAGCCGGCGGCGGCGGCAGTCGCGATTCGGCAGCGCCGTCTGCGGCGAAGGTTGGAGTCGACCGGAGCGGGTCCCACCGGGCTGCCACTGTACCTGCGGCTCCTCCCGTGGCCCCCAGACAGGGCGGCGGCAGCTCCGAGCGTGAGAGAGGGGGGGGGGTCTGAAGGGCTGCACCCTCCTCCGCCTCTCGCTCGGGTCACCGTGTCGGTCCCGGCACTCGCTCGGACGTATGGACGTATGGGGCATGGGGCGTGACTTGCTGGGATGACCGCGTGGAGCAGCATCATTGAGAGTCCGCTTCCTCCCTGACCTGTGAGGGGTGGTCGAGTGACCGGCGCCCGTCTGCTCCCCGTCGTCGCGAGGTCCAGCGGGCCGCCGGGCGACATTCGATACCGAACTGGATCGTCTGCCAGCGGTGGTCTGCGACGGTACGGAAAACCGAGCCGGCGGCGGGCGCCTCACCGCCCCTGAATCAACGGGGGACAACCCTGCCGCCTCTGAGCCCGCGGGGACATCTCACCGACACTGACCGATCCTGAGCCGGCGGCGGCGGCCCACCGGTAGCTGAGCCAGCGGTGCCGCCCCGGTCCTGCGGCCTCAGCCCTGGTGCGAGTCTCCCGTCCGTGGAGCGGGACACCTTACACGGCCCACCGCCAGCAGGGCCGGACTCTGGCCGTATTGTAGTCCACCGCCGGTGGAGCAGCACGGCAGCCGTGTCTCCCGCCGGTGGAGCAGCGCGGCAGCTCTCCTCGCCGGTGGAGCAGCACGGCAGCCGTGTCTCCCGCCTGTGGAGCAGCGCGGCAGCCATGTCTCCTCGCCGGTGGAGCAGCGCGGCAGCCGTGTCTCCTCGCCGTTGGAGCAACGCGGCAGCCGTGTCTCCCCGCCGGTGGAGCAGCACGGCAGCCGTATTTCCCGCCGGTGGAGCTGTCGGGCCGTACACGGCTGGGCTCGCTGGGTGGGATTATTTCGCCGTTGGAGCAGCACGGCAGCTGTGTCTCCCCGTCGGTGGAGCAGCACGGCAGCCGTGTCTCCCGCCGGTGGAGCTGTCGGGCCGTACGCGGCTGGGCTCGCTGGGTGGGATTATTTCGCCGGTGGAGCAGCACGGCAGCCGTGTCTCCCGCCGGTGGAGCTGCCGGGTCGTACACGGCTGGGCTCGCTGGGCGGGATTATTTCGCCGGTCGGCGCTGAATGGGTTGATTCGCCGGCCCTGGATCGGATTGATCCCGCAATTAGGCTGATTTAGTCGCAGCCGGGATTGATCTCGCGCGCTCGCCGTCCGCTCTGTCTGTGCCCGTCGGTGCGGTCGCTCTGTCTCATCCGTGCGCCGTCGGCCTGAGCGGGGTCGGCGGCCCCCTGTTGTCCCGCCGCTCCCGCTTCACCACGGCGCGCAGTGCGGTATCACCATTCGAGCCTTCCCAGTATGGCATGCTGCCATCGGCAGACGCACTCGCCAGTGTTGGCTCTATTCCCGGCGTGAGTTGCCATTTAGCCACGTTCGTCAGGGCGCTTGTTATGTAGCAGACGTCCTGTAATCGCGAGGCACCAGCACTGTAGCAAAATTGTCATCTCTGTCGCTTTACCACCGTGCACACATTCATCCCTGTCGCTTGCATCTCCCAGCGCGCTCGCGCCGCACCGCGTTCATTTGTCCACCCGGCGTGTTCACACCTCGCGACGCCCTGTTTTAGCGCCCAGTTGGCGGCCGAGGTTCGACATCGTCGGTACACTCGAGCCGGCCAACTTAGGCCATCGGCGCGGGCGGCGCCACTCCGGAGCCGGCCGATAATCGGATCAGCGGGCCGACGCCGGGTTTTGATTCTGGCCGGTCGGCTCCCGGGGCGCCGTTTAGATTGACACCGGTATCAGTCGGCGGTCCCGCGAGGCGCCGCCGGCCGGTCGCCGACGATTTGCGACGGCCATCGACGCGGCCGTCGGTCGTCGCGGCCGACGCGGCGTCGTCGGAACGGCGCCGTTCGTCGACGCTACGGCGCCCTCCGTCCCAATTAGAGCGCGCGCGCCGCGCCGGTCGGCAGAGTTACTAACAGGTGGTCGGCCGGCCGCGGCGGCCGCCGAATTATGAAGCGGCCGCGGCCGCGTCGCCTCATTGGCGCCCGACAAGCGGCCGCTTAGGTCATTGACGGATCACCGTCAGGGGAGGGAGAGGTCGGGTCGCCGCCGCCGCCGCCGCCGCCGCCCGCGCCCGTGTGGCCGCTCGTGGAACGACAGAACATCGCCGCAGGCATGCGGTGGGGGAACAATGAGGGGAGGCGTGACTGCCGACGAAAGCGTGTATTGTGTGTTTGAAGCGCCGGCCCGTGGTACTTGGCATGTGTGATGCTCAGAGCCAGAGGACTTCAGCGGGGTGCCAGCCAGCCTGGCCTTTCCTGTGTGGGATGTCGTCGGCGGCCTTGTGTGACGGACTCTCTGGCCGGGCGCGGCCGCTTGTCTCCCCATCGAATCCGAGGCGGACTTGCATTGACCCGCTTGACCTGAGGTCAAGACCCGGCCGGGTTGGCGCTCTCCTCTGTCGCGCCCGGTGCCCGCTGGAGCTGACCGCGGCGCTGTTTCAGTCGTACCAGCCGCCGAGCCTCGGCGACGAGGAGTTCGAGCTGCCACCGCTGATGTCGGATGGTGTCGGCCACGGCGGCCAGCAGGGCGGCATGTACTCGCCGGCCATGGAGGTAAGTCAGCACACCCAGCCCCAGTGGCGACGAGTCCAAGGGCCAGGTCTGCGAAAAGATTGCTTCATTCTCTAAAAGCCACGGTTTTCGCGTAATTGGCGCAGCTTTCAAGGGACCGTCTGCTCGCAAAGCGTTGTGTGCACTTCGCTCTTGTTTAGCTGGTAATGTTCACATTCTCCCTCGTGTAAGTGGGGTGGTAGGGAACCAACCAATGGCGATTCCAAATAACTTCTTGCGTTGCTTCGCCATGTGAAACTTGAAGCGACTTTGAAGGATTCTTTCCGGTCCAGTTGCTCTTACCGACCCAGTGGCGCCTTGGTCTCGTGGTCCCAAAGTCCAGTGTCCCCTTGGTCCTGCCTCGTCCACCTTTTCATGCTGTCCTGGTCTGGAGCGGGTGGTACTGGCGGGAACGCCGGTCCGTTCCGGTGCGATCTGGCCGCACCAGGAAGTCAATAGACCCTTCCCTTGC